TCCACGAGGAAACCGGCTTAAACTTGAGATAAATGCTAAGTATCATGAGTTAACAAATGCGTGAAAATAATAAGTCAAAATATTTAATTCCCTGGAAGATATAGGGTCCTCCTGAGAAAACCCCGATTTCCTGCATTTTTTTTTTTTTTTGCATAATTAGTTAGCTAACTTTGGATTGCTGTTGTGACAAACCAAAAAACCTATCTACAAATTCAATCGACTAGGTTTTGTTCTATATCTATCGGACTTCAAGAACATTGAATTGTTTCAAATTTTTTATTTCATTTCTTCCCTTACCTCTCCCTTAAGTAAAGACGAGTATTTCTATTTTTGAAAAAGTCCAAAAATAAGTGTATTTTAAGGCCTAATATCTCCGCTGACCAACATCTTCTAATCATTATTCCTACATGGGCGGTGAAAGCCATCACTGGACTTCCAAAATCTGTTATAAGATTTTGGGGCAACTGATTTCCTAACCCCATGTTGACGTGAAATTTACATTTAACTCCCACTTTTTGGTCGGTATCATCAAAATTCCGTAAACACATCTTTGTTTTATTAAACTAAAATAACTTGGAATTTTACAAGGCATTTTCCAGAGAGTATCCTTTAAATATGAACGAGGAGAGAATCTTTGAATGGCGCAAGCTGAGCCCTTTTTGAGAACTTTTTTAGCAGCCATACTTGGATTATTCTCGAGGAAACGCAGCAGTTGATGATGACCATGAAGGGCGCATATAGTCGAACTTTCTGGCAAAAGACATCTAGGAAGAAACTTGATAGTACATAGATGTCTCTGTGGTACCTCAGTTTCCATGTCAACAATGTACCAGATTCGATTTGCTTCATTGCCTTGTTGAAATATTAAACGCGGTGAGAGCTCTTGGAGCACAAGGAAAAAGAAGATGGTTAAACAACTGACACATACATAGAAATCACTTACATATTTTATCCGAATTTTCTGCTTACATTTGATATTTAATCTCGTGCTGTTTATTGTCATATGGGTTAAGGGAGAGGTAAGGGAAGAAATGAAATGAAAAAGTTGAAACAATTTAATGTTCTTGAAATGATTTGGATATATCAACAAAGTTGAAATGGTAAGTTGGCCACCGTAATGATTACAAAAGCTGACGTTTCGAGCGTTAGCCCGTCGTCGGAGCGAATAGAGGAACTGTGGGTTGTGTGTGCTTTTAAAGGCAGAAAATGGAGCTACGTTATTGGTGGGAACACGGCAACGAGAAAAACAAGAATAAATTAGTAGAATGGAAAGCGTTCGTTGATCCCTATGGGATTTAGACTGCCGGTTTGAAAGATGAGCTTTT